TTAGTTGATGCGAAAATTGTATATAATTTCAATTTCTAGGTAGTTATATAGTATAATAGTTGATTAATTACTCTGTCTATATGTATATACATAATTGGCTTGTTAAATGAGAACTGATAACTATGTATTAATATTTAATTTATGTTGTTTTTAATTATCACATTACTATTAATTATTGTAAAATAATTTTCCTAATCTATAAAATTTATAAAAATCAACCTAAATAGCTATAGGTATTTGAAACTTGTGAATAGCAATATATCTATGATTTTTACGAAATTTAAATTTAGTATATTGTATTATAGTCATTAATGTCTATAATTAATTATAGTTTATTTTCCATACAGAACAGAAGACCTTTCGATAATAAGTAATTTTTTATTCCAATTTTATCAAAATTGCTTACTTACAACCTAATTAAATCCAACAATGGCTGTAATAAAATTAAATAATTAATTATGCCATAAATAAAAATTGTATAATAAAGAATATTTTTTATATATTATACTTTTTAAAGGTATTAAATATTTTTAATGTCCTAAATGAAAATGCAGTAGAAACACGGTAACAAAATTTGAATAAAAATATACTTTTAGATAAAAATTGCTAAATAGAAAATATTGCTATATACAGGGTGCTCCAAATTCGAGGTACGAGCATTGGTATCTCGGAAACCGTAATAGATACAAAGTTGGTTAAATTAGGGCAAAGTTGCCGCTTTGGGATGTTCACCAAGATGCCACCAAAAAAGTTTTAAAAATTTCAAGGATTGCTGAGTTTTTTAGAAAAAAAGGATTTTTTTTTGAAAATTATTTTTTTCTGTCGTTACTTTTTAGAAAATCAAAAAACTAATTGTACATTCTAATAGCCACTTTATTAGGGCTATCTCATAGTATTTTTAGATTTTTAAATTTGCTGATAATTTGTGAGATACAGAGGTCAACTTATTTTTTTTTTTAAATACGGACCTGCAAATTTTATTTCAGGTTTTGAATGAACTCGGCCTCCTGAGTACAATGATATGCTGCACTTTATACGTTTTTTTTTTGTTTTCGGTAGCTTAACAACAACAAAACTATTTAATTAATATTTAAAATAATTTCAAGTCTGGTTTTTTAAATTATTAAATCTGATTATATTCATCGCAATAATATTGATGAGCGCTAATTAACATTGAATAAGGAAAACCGAGCCCAATTAGAAGATTCAGATAAATTATATCCAGGTCAGCAACTTTTTTTATTGTGAATTTGAAATTCTCAGTGTGCGATCTAATAATATGCATAATATTCTTTGTAAATTGTACTTTTACAAATGACATCAAGTAATGCCCTCCCCCCCTCCGACTCTTGGCAACAGGTCCAGGAACCTCGCTGACCATTATACAGCTCTACCATTTCCAATCCATCTTCCGCGGAAATGATTTGATTGTTTATATTATTTATTTTCACGTCATTGTTTAGTTTGAAAGCTTATCAATATTTTAACAATGAATAGGTTAAATATTTAAAAAAAATCGTAGTGGGACTTGAAATTTGTTTAAATAAATTGTGTTCAATTGTCCGAAACAAAAAAAAATATTAAGTGTGGCATATCATTGTACTCAGTAGACCGAATTGTTTCCAAAACCTAAAATAAAAAATGCAGGTCCGTATTTAAAAAAAATAATTTGACCTATGTATCTCACAAATTATTAACTAATTTGAAAATCTAAAAATACTATCAGAAAGCCCTAATAAAGTGGCTATGAGAATGTGCAATTTGTTGTTTTGATTTTCTAAATAGTAACGACAGAAATAAATAAAATTTCAAAAAAAAACGTTTTTTCAAAAAACTCAGCAATTCTTGAACTTTTTAAAGCTTTTTTGTTGGAATCTTTGGTGAACATCCCAAAGTGCAACTTTGCCTCAATTTAACCATCTTAGTGGCGACATTTTCAAAAGATTACACTATTTTTCGACTACAAAGATATTAGATACTAATAGTTATTTTATCGTTACTTGGAAATTGCTTTCTGGAGTGGCTACATCTAAAGATGACGCCATGCGCGTCGTCAATGTTTTACCAGTATAGTAATATTATTCTGTAAAGGTATTAGGGTATTCACTTGCAACAAAACACTCCGAACGAACCAAACGCGCCGCGCAAATTTGTGTAGTCAGTACGTTGCGCCGAACCGAACCGAACGCGCCAAACATTTTCCGAAGCTTGTCGGTAAACGGGATTTGCTCAAAAGAATTTGTTCGTTGGCCGGTGTTCAGTGGATACGGCAGTTTTGAACGTTCATTGTGTTTGTGGTGCTTTTAAACTGTGCCTAGCTATGGAGTGGAACAGAAAAAAGTGTTTAGAGTTAATTGATGAGTTTGAGAAGCGGCCTATTTTATGGGACCCGACAAATGGGACATATTATAACAAAGTAAAGAAGCATGATGCTTGGGTGGCAATTGCTAATAATATAGGGTGCACCGCAACTAGGACTTACTAAGCATATTAGATTCTCAAAATCTTCTGCAGCCATCCTTGTAAAATTTTCCATATGCATATATAATCTAGGTCACTAAGTAAGGCCATATTTTGACGGCGCAAAAAGAGGGGTCTTGACCACAGTTTTCGTTCTTTCCTTTTTTTCTCTTTTTTGTTACCCGCTAATGCCTCTATAATTTAAAAAGCACCAGCTGCTATATGGTAATATCAGATGCATCCAAGTCGACAAACACACTAACACTGATTACTGGTGGGAACGCAGCATAGATTTAGTAAGAACAGATATCACATTAGACATTTTAACCCGATCAAACAATCGGAGGTTGACTACGTACTGTAAAAACCAACTGAGATAGAGAAGGCGGCATTGCCACATCTCAAATTTGCGCCTATCTACTTAGTTTAATTTGCAGAAAAGGTGACTTTAAAACCTTTACCGGATATCAATAAATCTCAATTTCTTAATTAAATTAATAGTTTATTTTTAAAGAAGCATGCGTAATAATATGTTATTAACCAGAGGATATATGCGTTACTATTAAAGGACATGTTTACTGTTTAATGTGCTGAAACGTCTAGAACTATTGGCAACGTCGCTGCTAGTCTTCCAGAATGAAATGAGCCGTCCGTCCCACCACCCCTCGCGACGGCCCTTGGTCCGTTATAGCGTACTACGTTTAGCTTACGGTATGTTTGAAGTCGGAATCAAGTCTGAAGTGAACTTTTCAGTGTTTTTCAGTAGTTTTTGCTTTTGTTTAACGTACTTTTGAATCTGCGAATTTTCAATATGGTACGACAGTGTCAAATGTGTGGAAAAATAAGCTCAAATTACCCGAATTTGTCTCTTCACAGGTAGGTATTGTTTCCGCCGCGCCGTAATCGCCGTACATAGGCGTCCCACAAGGGAGCCTCTCACAATTAAAATAATTCCTAATTATATTTGTTGAATTTTGAGCTATTAAAACAAGAACGTAGTAGCCGGTAATTGAATTATAATTCGTCTCAATTACTACTTAACTGTTGTAGATCATACCAAATTTGAATATAAACGTTGCATTTGAAACTTTATTATAAGCCAGAAAGTGACATTTTTTTTCTTAAAATTGCATCATATTTTGGTCATTATATACGATATTCTAAAGGAATTTTGCTCAACATATAAACAAAGGTGTTTACCCGCCCTTTTTTACATTTTATTGCATTATTATATCTGCCCCTTCGGCCTCGTTTAAACAATTTTTTACCACCGTACAAATACCTCTTCCTAGAGTTATTTGTACGGTGTGTTATCTTTTTTAGAATGGGACGAACTGGAAATAATTCTTAGGCTACTAGTTTTATACATACCTATATAATAGAGTGACCTAGGCCTCCAAAAAAGCTTTTTACCTTTTACGTTTTAGGTTTGTAATTTTTATTTCAATTTTTTACATAAGATGGGGGCCATTGTAACGCACATTTTCAAAATATTTTTGTCAACATACAGGGTGATTATCGGGGTGATTCAAACCGCAATACATATGCTTTATACAGTTCATGAAGATTGGGACATTTAACTAAAATTTGATTGTCTGATGAAGCTACCTTTAAAAGTAATGGATTTGTAAATAAACGTAATATTCATTATTATACGACAGAAATCCCATACTGTAGCACACAGATTTGATACTTTTAATGATAAATTGCCTTCTAACAGCAAATGCCTTCTATTGAGAGACTAAAAGGTAATTGCCTCGTATCAGAGCCATCATAATACAAGAAGAAGACCGAAAGAGTCAAATCTTGTCTTATATTTTCAAAAAAACACAATTTTCTCATTAAATATTGATTTTAGGTATAGGAAGTTATTAATAATACAAGATTAAACAACTATTACATAGTACTTTACAGGAAGCTATCGATTGCGAACTAACTAAATCGTTACTAATTGCTAATTTTAAAAAAGTTCTTTTAAGATCAAAAAGGTAAAACTAAAACCTAAATTATCATTTGAGATTAAACGGGAAGTTCTAAATAATGTTGCCTATTCTAAACAAGAAAAAATTTATTTATAAGTTTTATAACATCTCTAATTAAATTTGGACGAAAATAACATTTCTGTTTGCTGTAGATAATTTTTCTCAGGGAAAATACGTAAATAAAAATGACTTTTTAAGTAAAAAAAGTCAAAAGGACAAGATTATTCCAAAAAGGACTGTCCTTTTCAAAAAGGACAGGTGGCAACCCTAGGTATTTCTGGAATGGAAATTTAATGGCAAATCTACAACTTTAATTTGAAAATATGTTCCGGCCACCTATGTTTACAAAAATGTCTAAAATGTGCTTTACCATTGCCTCCATATTCTGAAAAAAAGAATTGAAAGAAAAGTCACCAGCCACAAACCTAATAGAACTGTTTCGGAAGCCTGAGTCACCCTATAAATATTCAAAAGTAACTGAAAGTTTATATAGAATTAACTGAAAGTTTAAATTAAAAATCGACGTTGGGCGATTTTCGAAAACTACCTACTAAAGCTCTGGAACTTGAAATTCGCAAATGGAGGACAGCAATACAGAAGCTACAAAGAGCTTTGAATAGCATTGGTTAAATGGGAACTCACAATAGATCTCTAAGGTCGAAGTGATTAGCCCCCCTCCTACTCACCGCATGGATATCAAACTTACGTTTGACATCCGTGCGGCTTGAACAGCTTTTCAAGTGATGTATAATTCTGGGCCTCTGCTCCTAGCGACCTGCATTTCAAATCCACGCATCGCGTATCACCGTTCGTCTAAAAATTTGTACGTGAAGAATACATTTTTTCTTGCAATTGTACCTATGTACTCCTTGACTATCAAATGTACCCAAAATAGTACAATTGTACCTATTGTAACAACACTGCTGATTACTGGTGGGAACGCAGCGAACACCGCAAACAAGCGCAACGCTCCGCGCAAAATGTTTTGTTGCAGGTCGTTCAGAGCGCGCCCGGAAAATGTTTTGTTGCAGATTGTATGGAGTGCGCGACGCGTTTGGTTCGTTCGGAGTGTTTTGTTGCAAGTGAATACCCACCTTAACATTAGAATAAAAATACCTAAGCTAACTCATTCATTAATGACGCGGTGGGATCATCTTTAGTTGCTTTATTAAGTCTACTTCTTATATTCGGCAAAACTTAACCAGTCTTCTTTAACTAAATCGGCTCCTTTTTCTCCGACCATTATAGCTGGTGCGTTGGTGTTTCCACTTGGTATAGTAGGCATGATACTTGCGTCAATTACTCTTAAACCAGTAACACCATAAACTTTTAACCTGGGATCTACCACTGCTTCAGAGTCCCACTCTGGTCCCATTTTACACGTACCAACTGGATGATAGATCGTCATCGATATAGTCCTTATATGGCATTCCCAATATTGATCCGAACCAAACTCAAAATGTTTGCAATTTGGAAACGGAATTATATGCACTCTACTTCCAAACTTTTTAAATGCTTTCGATTCACTAATCTTTATTCCAATTTTGGCACCTTCAACTAGCACGCGAATGTCTTTGGGGTCGTCGAAGTAGTTTGCGTTGATGATTGGGTCGTCGAATGGGTTTTTGCTTCTGAGCTTCACCCAGCCTCTGCTTCTCGGTCTCAGAAGGAGTGGGATTAAACTGTAGACATCTTGGTTAGCGATGGGTTTGTAAACTGTGTTGTAGAGTTCGTCGGTTAGGCCTAGGACTTTTCGTACTCTCGCGCCTGCGTCGGAATTGACACTGGCCGGAGCCATGTGGAATTGGATATCTGGCCATGATCTGTTTCCATATCTAAAAAAGTAATAAGTAATAATCTGGGTATCAGGGTATGAGTGTCACAAGAGTAACGAAAAGACAGATGAAATGGTCAAACATGCCATTCATAGGCCCAGAACCCTTTTAGGGTATTGCAAAAGCCCTAGATCATATACACTTACGTGGATGCTTAAACGCCGTGCGATAAACATTAAAAACGACGTCTCCAACGTCACGACATGCCATTTTGAAACCTTCTTTATTGTACTTATGAAGCGTTCAATAGCTTTGTCTTTCTCGAGGACCTTACTTTACGCATGAGCATTGAAAGTTGCACGTATTTCCAAAATAATCAAAAAATAATCACAATTTTATACGATTTAAAAAGTATAAATTATACATTGTTATGGAAACCAATTTTCATTGTCATCATATTGTCATAATTTTATTTCCATTGTGTAACGACGCTTGTTTTTGCGTTCTTTATCTTGAAAATTTTATTAACTACTCGGGTTTTATCGGTCGCTTTTATGTAGCAAAGGATGCAAGTATGTTCAGTGAGATATTAATTTTAAGTTTGTGCAATTATAATAATCTATTTTTTTTTTCGTTGGACTTTTTAAATACTCGTAAAAATGACTAGAAAGTGTTTACTGTGTTCTAATATATAAAAGATCCCGAATTATCTTTTCATAGGCAAGTAAATTATTCAGTTGTACTTTATTTATATTAAACACTTACATATATTTTCCGGTTAGATTTCCTAAGAATATTGATATTCGTTGAGAGTGGCTAAGTATTTTTATATAATTTAATTTTTTTGTAATTTACTGTTAAAAAAAATTTAATTTTAATGTCTTGTTATGCATTTTACAAATTAAATTTTTAAAATTAAAATTAAAATTTGGCGCGTGGACGAAAGGTCCCCGACAAGGATAGATAGAGTAGAAGCACCGCGTGTACAACAAAGAAAGAAGACAAATGTAAGTCGTTGATATGTTTGCGACAGTTTCCATAGTGATTTACTTATCCACGTAAGTATATATTATGATCTAGGGCAAAAGCAGAGATTATGATGATTTTATTATACTTTATTGACTATTATCATTTTATATTTTATTGATGTCATTCATTGACATCATAAAACGAGGGTAGAAAATATATTTTTACCCTCGTCCTCCAAAAGATTCTTTTATAACTTACTTTGTATTTACAAATGCAAGACCTTCTACACCTCCTAGTGTTGTCATTGGTCCTTTTTCATTTAAAACGTACTGCATAGTCATGGGAAAAGCTGGGAATCGATCTTGGACTATTGAGACTGGTTTATCAACTCTGAAATTTATGGTGAAAAATAATACTCAAAAAATAAAATTTCTAACTCTAAAAAACTACTGACATTTGAAAAGAAAATATGACAATATAAATTTCGCATCTCCATTTCTACTTTTCTTGGTTTACAATTTGATATTGCGATAATAAAGAATATTTCTATAAGAGGGACAATATCTTGGAGAGTAATAGGTATACTCATCACTTTGATATACTCATCACTTGATGTATGTGTAAAAACATTTTTTGGTCAATTGTGATACATCATTGCTTTCAAAGATAAAATGAAGGTCCGTATTTAAAAAATGAAGTTAGGTGATAATGTTATCTCGGAAACGAAAAATTGTAGAGCCGAAGAAGTAGCAATAGGAATGAGAAATTTGTGTTGTGGTATCTTTTCAAATTGAGTAAGTAAAAATAAAAACCAAATCTGGATAATTTATTTTTCCCCAATATTTTCGGTAATCAGATTTTTTTAGATAGCATAGCGCAACTTTTCAAAAATTTAATCGTCTTTGTATATCTTCTTGTTTTTGAAATACATCTAGCGATCTTGCATTTAAGTTTCAAAAGTATACGATAAAAATCAATAAAATAGCAGTCTGTGCAATAATTTTGATATCATCCGTTATATTAGTTAAATCTTACATCTTACATCTACTTACCTAAAAGTGAATCCTCCCATTCCGACATGATCTTGTAAATTGTGTCCGACTGGCAGATCTCTTAGGACTGGAATGTTATGCTTTTCCAGTTCCCTTTTGGGTCCGATACCTGATAGCATCAATAATTGTGGTGTGTTTATGGAACCAGCAGCGAGAATGACTTCTTTTCTTGCTAACACAACGTGCTTTCGACCTAAAAATGTATAATGTGGTAGATTTGCGTCATTATGTTATAAATGAAATGGCGTTCGCAAGTTTAAAATAGAGATGAATCCAAAAGAAGCAAAAAGACTCAAAGTCTCGGTCTCTTTTTGCTTCTTTTGGATTTATAAACCAGGTCTCTTTGGGATTAATGGACGCCTTTTTAAAAAAATAAAGATGAGAAAAACTGCAATTCTTAAATCGCAGTTAGCTTCGTACAATCCCGATCATAGATATTTTCTTATAAGTCCCTTATAAGTAAATAACTTGTAAGTAAGTAATATAAGTCACTTTTAAGTAAGTAATATTTTATTTTATACTTTTCAAAAAAAGTCCTATGGGTATTTCGCCACTCTATGAACATCTACAAAATAAAATAGTTATTTTTTGTAAACACTTCTGGCGGTAATCCAACGGAGACTAATTGTCAACAGTGGTTTACTAATAAACAAATTTGCCCAACGGACAAATAAATGCTTAACGTTTCGGGAAGTATGTCTCCATCGTCGGAAGCAAAAAAAAGCACAAAGAACAATGAAAAAAAAAACGATTTAAAATATCTAAATGTAACTATTCGAGAACATTTTTTTTAAACAGATACGTCTATAAAAACCGTTGACGTTCTGTTAAAATGACATTTAATCATTTTAAACTTCAAAATTAACAATTACTACCTGATAACAATTACTTAATAAGGTAAAACCAAAAAGCTGCAAACTTTCTGATTATTTTTTAACTTGTTTTTAATTTTCACGTATGTTATGTTTATTTACGTTATGTTCTTTAAAACCAAAGACATTACTATACATTACTAACATCTATAGATCCATGGGCAATACATTTATTTTTATTAGATTGTATTAAAAAAGCCTCTTTTATTTTTCTTTTAGAGGCTATCGCTTCTTTCATTATAATTTTTGCGTTGTTAAAATCTACTCTGTGTCCTGTGTCGCACGAATGCTGACAAATCTTAGATTTGTCAAAATCGCCCTTTCTTAAATAATCTTTATGTTTTTTAATTGGAACATTTAAGGTACGTACCAAAAAAATACAATGCCCAATACTTCGGGCTATTTTCTCTAGGCACACAAATTTATACGATTCTATCTATTCATTTAAGTACCATGAATTATTTCTGTTTTTCTATTTTTATTTTGTTTGTAAATAAAAATACTAATGTAATGTAATAAACAAATTTTAATTCAATATATTATTAAAATTTGTTTATAGTTAATATAGGTGAAGTCTTAAAATTAATTATTATCGTTTTTAATGAGAATTTGTCAAATGTTTATCTTAGTCTGACGTACCGTTTCTGTAGAACTCTACTCCAAAAGCTCTCATGTTTGACGGATTTATCAATATTCTTGTGACGTGTGAATTTAAAGCTATATGAATATTTTTCCGCAGCTTCACAGGTCTTAAAAATGCTTTTGCTGTCGAGCATCTCTGTCCTCTTCTGATCGTTCCTTGAGCTATCATAAATCCTGCTTGATCTGCGCCATTTATGTCCCTAAAATTGTTTAATTTTTTACTTACATTGCAACTTAATCAACAAATAAGTCCACTTTAGGCCAAAAATAATTGTTATAAAAAATATCACAAGATATAATCTTTTATTGAACGTAAAGCCACTCTATTATCCATGTTCAAGATCTGTCAACTTTAAAGTAATATAATGGGTCTACAAGTAATTATTGGATGCGAAACATGGAAAGTTACGCGTGGTCTCATGGGAGGTCTGTAGGTGTATGTTAACGAGTTTGTTTGAAGAATATTGAGAAGAATTTTTGTACCAATCAAATTAACAACGAAGAACTGAACAAAATCAAATAGACATCGAAATTAAGAAAAGAAAGTGGGGCTGGATTGGTCAAATTTTGCGCAGACCTCGCAGAGTTATCGCAAAACAGACACTTGAATGAAAACAGGGAAGACGTGCCAGAGGAAGGCCAAGAAATACCTGGAGAAGAACAATAGCCTCTGAAGCCCAAGAGGTTGAAAAAACAAAGGGAGATATCAAAGAGACAGCCCAGAATAGGATGAGATGGAAGTATCTCTTAGAAGCTCTATGTCCCCCCTTGGAAGCCGAATTTTGAAAATTCGTGGCCAAAACCTAAAATATGAAAGTCTCTGCGTCTTGTAATAAACGATTCAGAATTGAGTAATATTTACCTTATAGGATATCCCATTTCAAGACCAGTTTCTACAAATGCTACAACTAAGGGAGTTCTCCATGGCGATTCTTGAACTGTCAATAACCCTCCCATTCCGTGGTATGGAGTTCTGGCTAGATAAGGGTTTCTGTTATCTTCGGATTTTATAAAGTATTTTAATACTTCGTCGTAATTCCAACCAGGGTTGCCTTAAATGTGTATTATACATGTTACAGTGAAAGTCGGAAATCCAGTAATGTTAAGAATCACTAGGAAATGCTAACATTTATGCATTGGCTCAATAAATGTAATATTTTAAAGAAATTTGTCGATTTTTACCAGTAATTTTTGGCAGTTGCTAGTGACAGTAACATTTACTATAAAAGTCAGCAACAGCCATTTTATTATAAAATAGGGAGCGCTTTGATGGAAGTTGGAACAAATAAAACATTTAAGAACAATGAACCGCCTGCCTGCATATTTAAGCTCATCCACTCATCTTAAAATTACAAAAAGTAGAAAAAAGACTCAAAGTCTCGGTCTTTTTCTACTTTTTTAATTTGAACCAGGTCTCTTTGAGAAAAATGGATGCCTTCTTTAAATTAAAATTACAAGTTATCGAGAACAAAACAGAAACACCAAAATTACTATACCGGATGCGTCTCAAAAGTGGCTCACCCCTATAACTTTTTTATTTTTTCAGATTAGAAAAAACGAGATTTGGTATGTTAGTATGTACATGACATAAATTAGGATTGATTAACGTATTCAATCACTTCCTGTTTCACCGGAAATGACTACAACTTTTGATTTTTAAATGGCACCTTTGGTATTTTTTTACTTTATTCGATAGAAAATGACACTTTGAATCGAATATCATATGTCAGCTTTTGACATACATATTTGCTCAAAAAGAAATTGTATTTTAAATTTCAATCTAGAGTGCCGTGGCTGTGTTAAAGACACTAATTTTTAATCAAGGAGCCTTGGAAAAATAGTTTTGATTGTCTAATGTTTTTAGCGTTTTCTCCCGGCCGGTTAAAAGAAGCCCAAATCGTATTTTTAATGATATCTCGATTTTTTCAAACGGAACGATTTTGGCTACTAGCATATTTGGAAAAAGCATTTTTTACGAATAATTTGATACCATACACTTGGTATTTCGAGTCAAATTGTCGTTATGGACCTCATGTTACAATTTCAAATAAACCAAATGCGAAAATGTCAAAAATTGACATATGATATGCCATTCTAAACAGAGTGTCATTTTCTATTGAATAAAGTAAACAAATACCAAGAGTGCCATTTAAAAATCAAAAGTTGTAGTCATTTCCGGAAACCGGAAATCACCGAAAACGATTGAATATGTCAATCAATCCTAATTTATGTCATATACTAATATACCAAATTTCGTTATAGCGGTGGGCCACTTTTGAGACGCACCCGGTATATTTGACTATAATATTCACTGATTTCTAGCTTTTATTGTAACATCTATAAAGGACGGTCCACACTTGCTATATAACACTGCTATATAGCAAAGTTATATAACATGTTACATATTTTTTAGTTATATATAGCAAATTTCGATGCTATATAACTTGCTAGATGTTATCCATTTGTAGTCGGTAAAGATCAAAAGATGTTGTGCAACATTGCTATTGTAACATGAAACAATGCGTCCACACTTGCTAAATTTCTAGTTTAGCCGCTCATATTTTCAGGGACGTGCGCGACAGAATCTTAATGTGGTGAGCTGATATTGGTTTGTTTAGGTTAACTGTTCTTGGGTTTGTTTATTTACTGGTCAATAATACCGTATGATCGAAAAAAAAACTGCGTCCAGTCGGCCTCCCGTCCAGTTGGCTTGGAAATGACGATCGATGACATTCCCCATATAGTTTTCCATATAAAATGACAGCGATTTTCATTTCATAGTATGTATTTGGAAACAGAAAAAGTTGAGAAATAATGCGTAATCTAATAGGCCAGTTCCAGCGGGAACAAAAGAAATGCAAATCAGGAACTGCATGGTTTAGATGAAGTGGATAATTCAAAATGGTTTGCTTTTGCTTTTACAGTACCTCTGTTCGTTCTGTAGCTACGGGGTATCCGTGAGAGGGGAAACGATATTCTCTCGATGTTTTTCGTAAAAAATAGACGACGCGTCCCATCAATAAAAATTCGACAAATTTGCAAGTAGCCAATAAAATGAGTGGGCGGAGCGATTTGCGGTGACGCACTCGTCAAATCGACGTATAGAATATATTGCTGTTTATTTAAATGTTTTTTGTCCGCATTCCTTTCATAGACACAGATCCAGCAGACGAGACGTACTGTAATTATTAATGTTTTTAAAGACAGACGACACCACGAGAAACAGCCGAGGCAAGTATTGAAAAAATAAGCTAATTGAGTTCAACTGTATCTAGATCTTGCTGGTAGGCTATGGCGGACTCAAAACCGCTTTTTCTCGACTTTCTTTCCCTTAGTTCAAAAATAATTACGCACGCCGCTGCTGCGAGCTGAACCTCTTTCTCGCCAAAACGATTCATGACTACGAAAACTATAATGTGGACGGCCCCCGGTTTTTTAACATGTTACATGTAGCTTGTTAAATAGCAATGTTATATAACATGTTACTAAATGTGGACCCTCCTTAAGACATTAGTACGAATATATTGGTCTTATTTAATTATTCTATATTACTTTTTAATTTATAACATATGTTAATTTTTCTTTTGAGGTACACAATTTGTATCTCTCGTATATAACTTTTAGTAGGCAGTCTTAAAATTATTACCACACACAACCCGTTTATTTTGTACATGAAAAAAGTCTCTTAGTTGAGTCGTTTTTGTTCATACCTAATTGCTCCCAATAATCATAATCATTTTTATTTCCTCTGACATACAACATATAATTTAAAACGCTGGATCCACCGAGTACTTTGCCCCTGGGCCAGTTGCAACGTCCATTTTTCATACCTAAAACAATTTAAATATTATAAATATAAAAATTCGGATATTCATATAAATACCGCTAAATAAAAATTTCGATATTTTTTATATTTATTATCTATGAAAAATAAGATGTAAAAAATATTTTGTGTGCACTATGTGCGCATATTTGAAGTGAAACTTCTTCTTACTTCCGTCGCGTCGGTCAGTCTGTCCGTCTGTCTGTCTCAGGACTCCATTCAGGTACCTCTATCCACGTGCCAAGTTTGGTTCCAATCGACCCATAATTAAGATAAATCCTGATGATTTCGTCCATTTAGAGGCATCGGCATCGGTTCAAAACATCGAGGACGTCATCCTGTAGCCCATCCCCAATTATGCCAAAATCGACCCACATTTTTCTTCAATATCAATTCCTTAGTCCCACTCTGATGAAAATGTAAACGAAACCTCGTATCCAACTTTGCAGGCTGTGACCGTTGCCCACATAGCCTACTTACCAAATTTGGTCGCGATCGGACAACATCAACCTTTGACGTTTCCTACGTCAAAACTAACTGTCACAGTGACACGTGTCATACACGGTCCAATTGGCCTTAGTCCAATCTATGGACATATCAAATTTCATTTAAATCGGACGATTTTTTGATTTGATTCATTGATAATGGAATTTCGTAGTGCACGAAACGTCGTCAAAATATCATGAAAAGATGGGGCTCTTCAAGCTTCATCTAGATTCCGAGTTTCAGCCCCCTAGCTCATATAGGGCTCAAGTTATGACGCTCCAAGATCGTTACCATTTTTGTGACGCTTTGCGACCTTGGCGTGACGCCTCGCGTGACTCTAGCTCGTGTGTCGCGACCTTGTTGCGAATTGTTGCATTTGCAAGACCGCAAGACTCTTGCAAGCTGGTATTGGTGCTGCGTCAGTCTTGCATTGGCGGTCTTGGTTTTGCATTTTGTGCAAGGCCAAGATCAAGACAGCAAATTTTCAATTTTCATTTTAAACAACAAATTTTAAGATTTTTTTTATTACAAATATTAAGAAACAAGACCTTAACTTACTCAACACGTCAGATAAGGCAGTTTTCGATAACACGGCAGAGTATAGATTTAGTAGAAGAATGAGTCTTGGAGAAAAGTAATTTCAATATTACCTAAACAAGCACGTCCTGTACTTTCCACTTTATACCCCCAATCTAATTTTGACAGTTGTAAATAGGCAGCCAAAGATGGTACATCTGATATTTCGTTTTCGTCTGGACCGGCTTCAAGAAGTAGAACTTTCCAGTTTGGAACTTCTGACAATCTTGATGCTACCTAAAATGATTTATTTTAAAACGGACAGAAAATTGTAGTAAATCAATAATAAATGAAGATTTTAACCCCCTTTAGCTAGGAAACAAAGCAGAATCGGGTTTATTTTGATATGAAAAATAAATCTTATTTGTAAGTGAGAAATATCCCCACTAGAGATGGCGCATGTTTTTGTGACACCTTGTATAAACTATTTTTAAAAAATACAAATAGTTTATAGCGTCCTTCCAATACAATAAGTCTTGAAAATTATTTAATTTTTATTTTATATCATCTGGTAAAACAATAACGTTAATAATAATTTTGTTCTTTTTCAGGTGAGTGCTTTGTAGTGAAAATTTAGAACGAAAATGACATTAAAACCAGAAATAATTAGGTAAGTAAATGTTGTCAAGATGTAGAACATGTTTTAAGAGTCTGTAGCTAGAGAAGAAAATCTTCAATCTAACCCATTATTAAGAAAAATGAGAATCAAATTATTTAGATTATTTTTAGAGTAATTTCTCAAAATATCATTAATAAAAAGGTTTTTCCTCTTGTAAAGACAATCCGGGGACTATACTCTGTTTTTTTCTCAGGTAAGATTTCGACAGACGATGACAGAAAAAAAGCAGATGACGTCCCATACCAATCTATTTATTTTACTAAAAAAAATTTCTAATATTTTTAAGTTAACTATGGATGGATTTAAATATAAATCCGTCTTGCGTCGTCTCTTGTTGTTTTTAACCAGTTTTATTGGTTTATTTCAAAAATGACAGATCATATTTCAATTTTATTGGTTTGACGAAACGATGAACGTCAAACGGACGCCGACGTATCTTGCCAAATTATAGGTTATAATTTTGTGTCAACTTATGTCAAATATCTGCGTTTTGGAAGATGATGCATTTTGATTCGTGTTATTACGTGTGTTTTGTGTCTTTTGAAGTCAAGTGAAGGAAAAATCGTCTTATACACCAATAAAGTTACCATCAATAAAGTTTGTATACCATCTCGTCGTAGATAAGTGCATCTCGTATATGCTACAAGGATCGTCCTAAACATATACTACTGGAGTATCTGTAAAATATCGACATCACATCATAGGTAAATAATGGATTTTAGTACTGCAGAAAAATAATGTCAAAAGGTACTGGTTTAAAAAAAATTAAGATTAAAGTTAACTAATCAACCTTTAAGGTATAAAATTTGGTAAGTGTTGTTATTAATAAAATAGTTTATTTTATTTATTCCTGTGGAATATTACAAATTTGTATTTGTACATAAGTGGTGTTTTGTTCTTGTTTGTTTTGTATTAACACATATCGTTTTTTTAAATAAAATAACTCGGTTACATATTTTCAGTTTAATACAGTTTTTTTCACAATATTTTGAAGTAATCACCTATCAGTCAAATTTTAAATATATTAATTTCCTGCTATGTGTACCAGTTGTACGAAATTATTTCTTTGTAAAATAAAATAAACTACTTTGAAATTAAAATGACAGACACATCTATCACTGTCAAGGATCTTGTCGTTGGACAGACTATACAGGGTGTCCCAGAAATAAGTGCAAATATTTTAACTGGTAGTATAGTTCAACCCCAGAAACACGCCTATGAGGTTTTTTTCGCGAAAAAAAATTTTGAAAATTCGAAATTTTTTGAAAAATTTTTTGGAATTTTTTTTAGATTTTAGTTAAAAACATAATTTCTTGATAATATGGCAACATGGGTATTAGATTAAATTTACAAGAAAGAAAATCCAGAAAAGATCCAGGGGTTCTCAAAATTTTGGCAAAAAATATTTTTGTTTGGAAATTTTCAAAGTAAAATAACTCCGTTATTTTGGACTTATTTGAAAAACGATAAAGAGAAAATATGTTTGTTTTATCGAGATCTACCACCCCTTAAAATACTTGCATTTCTGGGACACCCTGTATATTATGAATAGACTGTTATTGTAGTACTTACAACAGCTCCAGCTGATCCCCCTCCTACGACCACAAAGTCGTACTCTTTATGCAATGTTTTCTGGTTGATTATGGGCGACTCGGGATCCAGTTGATTGTAGTTGATAAACGTGAGACTGGCTAGCATCAGGGGAATAATCCATATAGTTGATCCAAGCAAACCAACGCTTTTTAAGGCTGTTGTTGCCAACAAATTGACAATGGCCATGATTATGTTAATATATTTTTTCTAAACTACTTATGGAAATTGTGCGGATAAAAATGTGTCTTGTCCTTATTGAATGCACTATTATCACAGATACTGTATCTAAAAGAATATCTTTTAATATACAAGGTGGTCCGAATTGTATTTCGGAAACTTCAGCAGCATATTCTGCAGATAAAAATAAGTAAAAAAGTTCGTATAAATGTATGTCCTAAAATGCTTAGTTTCGGAGGTACAGGGTGTAGAAATTTCATTTTTATTTCGATTTTTTCCAAATAACTTCTGAAGTAAGTCAATAATACTGCATTACTGCTACATAACCGCAACGTGCATTGAGGAACCTGGCGAATTCGCCAGAAAGTAAAAGAAAATTACAGAATTCTTTAGAACGTTCCAGAAACATTCGCCAGGGGGTATATAAAGGCCCGCGCTTTGACAGTTGAAGTCTGAAGTTTGATAATACCGCGTTTTAAATTGTGAATTAATTGGCGAAGGTGCCAGTACCGTTAGAGTAATAGTAGTTGCATAAATTGTGTTGTAAATAGTATAAGTTGTCTGTACAGAGTGAGACAAATAAAATCGTTAAGTATTTTATCGTGAGTTTAAATTAGTGGACCCACGGAATCCGTAACAATATTTAGAATAGAAATAGTCAATACATGTCATTATATGACAAAAAAATAAACATGTTGAGTAGGTAGTTATTTGACTGAAATGATAATTTTTTAAACAAATCAAAATTTTTTCTTCGAAAAAATGATAAAACGCTTTCTGTTGAACTTCTGGCACAACCACATTTCAAATTTATGATTTCAGTCCAATAACTATTTTTAGTCAACATATTTAATCTATGTCAGTGATGACATCAGGTATTGATAATTTAGATTCCAAATATCTCGAGAAGCATTAGTCGTAGCGATTTACCAAGAGACCTTTTTTACCTAAAAAAACGTCGTAAATGTATATTTTTTTACTCAGTAGTTTTATTGAATGAACAGTGCTTTCCATAAAATCAATAAAATGAAAAATATACGAAATAATATACATGTACTGATTTCTTTCGAAAATCGACAACTATGAAACTTAAACCCTTCCCGGACACAAACAGTACATCGTGAGACAGGAAATTGTAGAGAGAAACAAGCCCTATAACATAGCATACAACATTTTAATGAACAGTGCTTTCCATAAAATCAATAAAATGAAAAATATACGAAATAATATACATGTACTGATTTCTTTCGAAAATCGACAACTATGAAACTTAAACCCTTCCCGCACACAAACGGTACATTGTGAGACAGGAAATTGTAGAGAGAAACAAGCCCTATAACATAGGATACAACATTTTAATGAACAGTGCTTTCCATAAAATCAATAAAATGAAAAATATACGAAATAATATACATGTACTGATTTCTTTCGAAAATCGACAACTATGAAACTTAAACCCTTCCCGGACACAAACGGTACATTGTGAGACAGGAAATTGTAGAGAGAAACAAGCCCTATAATATAGCATACAACATTTCAATGAACAGTGCTTTCCATAAAATCAATAAAATGAAAAATATACCAAATAATATTCATGTACTGATTTCTTTCGAAAATCGACAACTATGAAACTATGAACCCTTCCCGGACAGAAACAGTACATCGTGAGACAGGAAATTGTAGAGAGAAACAAGCCCTATAACATAGGATACAGCATTTTAATGAACAGTGCTTTCCATAAAATCAATAAAATGAAAAATATACGAAATAATATACATGTACTGATTTCTTTCGAAAATCGACAACTATGAAACTTAAACGCTTCCCGCACACAAACGGTACATTGTGAGACAGGAAATTGTAGAGAGAAACAAGCCCTATAACATAGGATACAACATTTTAATGAACAGTGCTTTCCATAAAATCAATAAAATGAAAAATATACGAAATAATATACATGTACTGATTTCTTTCGAAAATCGACAACTATGAAACTTAAAACCTTCCCGGACACAAACGGTACATTGTGAGACAGGAAATTGTAGAGAGAAACAAGCCCTATAACATAGCATGCAACATTTTAATGAACAGTGCTTTCCATAAAATCAGTAACAGGTACAGACGAAAAGTTCTTACTCTTCAAACGAGTTAAAAATAGGTATGTAGGTGGCGCCCCCTACAAGTAGGAGTCACATTCGCATCAAAATCTAATTTGTCATATCAAAAATCTCCCAGACACCAATTTTCATCCAAATATTGACGTTACTTCAGAAATTATTTGGAAAAAATCGAAATAAAAATGAAACTTCTACATCCTGTATAGGTATCTCCGAAACTAAGCCCCATTTTAGGACATACATTTACGAACTTTCTACTTATTTTTAGCTGCAAAATATGCTGCTGAAGTTTCCGGAATACAGTTCGGACCACCCTATATAGAGATGCCAGACGAAAAGTTTTTTTTGAATGTTGTAGACAATGATTTAGTATTGATAGTAATATTTACCTAAAATGTACTAGTTAATTAAATGACTAGAAGAGACTGGTACTAAATAATATAAAAAAAAATGTTTGTTTTGGTTAATCCGGTGGACGTATTTTCATTTTTAACCAACGATAGACCAGTTTATTCTCCTTATGCAACCGGATGTACGAGTGGAGCATCTTTCTAGTCTTTGCCAAGTACAGAAGTCATCTTTTACGGTTTTCTGAAAAGAAAAAAAACAATTATTATCTAGTAACCAGGATATAATACTTATAGTAATTGATGGTATATAGTTATATTTAGTCCTGCTGGGGAAAGTTTACCATATATTCTTCGTACCGCATGTATGATCGATTTATGTCGAAAAAAATACAAGATGTTCCATAAGTAAAAATATAATTTTGGTATGGATCTTATTTCTGAAACAGCCTGTATATTTCAAAATAATTTTAACCCTTTATAGGGCAGTACTATTTTTTTTCTAGTATATTTTATTTAGTTTTTTACATATTTTAAGATTTTTTAAAAATGTATACAGGGTGTTTCGAAAAATCTGATCATTGATTAATCACGATCCTGCTTAAAGCGCTTGACTTAAAAAGCTGGTTTTTGGAAAACGGATTGATGTTAGGGTATACAGGTTCGATAAGAAGGGATTTTTCGAAACTCGAATTCTAAGGGGATGAAACCACCCCCCAAATATTAGAATATTTTTTATTTAAAAACCGGTGAGTTTATCGGAAAACCCCTTAAACACGTATATTTTTTTTGTTTTACATATTTTAAAATTTTTTAAAAATGTATACAGGGTGTTTCATAAAATATGACCATTGAGTAATCACGATTCTGCTTAAACTGTTTGACGTTTAAAGTTGATTTTTGGTAAACGGATTGACTGTGGGGTGTAGAGGTTCGATAAGGAGGAGTTTCTCGAATCTCAAATTCCAAGAGGGTGAAAACGCCCCTCAAATATTACAATATTTGTTCATTAAAAAACTGTTGGTCTTTTGGGAAAACGCTTGGACACGCATAATTTATTTTTTTACATATTTTGAAAATTTTAAAAAAATCATACAGAAAGTTAGGTAATTGATTAACCACGATTCTTAAACTGCTTGACGTAAAAAGCTTATTTTTAGCAAACGGATTTTTCGAAAGTCAAATTCCAACGAGATGAAACTACCCCTCAAATATTACCAAGTTATATAATAATATCGCCATATTGTTTTTTCTCATGCTGACATAAATGTGGGATAATTTTATCCAGTTTGTATGTTAATGGAAATTCTCGCTTTGCTTTATCATCACCATTACAAATGATTAATTCGACTCGAACGAACTCGCGGGTACACGCTAGTTTATTTATAAAAATTATAATGTGTAGTAAAAACTATTAAGTATTTCCTATTAAATAACTTGTAATCGGTTATCATATCAAGATAATATTTAATTGATTAGGAAAAAGTTTTTTCTTAGTCTGAGAACTCGGAACTAGAATTGCTGGTTCGTAATTTTTCTCTCGATCAGAATAATTCAGGAAGTTGCACTTAGACATTTATGCTTGTTTATCGACCGACTATTGATCTACAAACTAGTATGCCGGTGTTACATAATGAATTCTCGACAAATTTCTATTTCTACGCCACCTGTCACAAGGCGGCGCTTAAAAATATTTCCTTTTTTGTTCGTACAGAATAGTTCGCTCGAGCTACCAAAATCCGTGTGTTTTTAGAATTAGTTTTATGATTTTAAATAATTTTAAGGTGTTATCGTTGAAATTAAGTGTGGAAGTCACTTCGAAAATGTTGGCGTTTGGTCGCTACATTAAATTATACCAGCAGAAAAAAACAATAAAGGTGTAAATAAAAATAAGATGTTTCCTTTCGGAAACGGTAAGTAGCTAAACGACCAGTGAAGCCTCTAAGGATAGAGCTAGTGGAGCTCTATATTCGCCCCATTTGAACTGTGTTTCGAAAATGCACAGTTTCCCAGATATTTAGTTAGAAATATAATATAAAAATAATTTTCTGAATATACCGGGTCAAAAGTGGCTCACCCCTATAACTTTGATTTGGTATGTTAGTGTATATGGCATAAATTAGGATTAGTTAACGTATTCAATTGTTTTCTGTCACTTCCTGTTTCACCGGAAATGACTACAAGTTTTAATTTTTAAATGGCACCCTCGGTATATTTCTACATTATTCGATAGAAAATGACACTCTAAATAGAATAACATATCATATGTCAACTTTTGACATTTTCGCATATGGTTTATTTAAAATTGTAACATGCGGCTCATAACGACAATTTGACTCGAAATACCAAGTGTGTAGTACCAAATTATCCGTAAAAAAATGAATTCTCCAAATATGCTAATTAGCCACCCTTGTTCCATTTGAAAAAAATGAGATATGATTAAAAAAACGATTTGGGCACCTTTTAACCGAACAGGACAAGGCACAAAAAACATTAGACGATCAAATATATTTTTCCAGGGCTTCTTGATTAAAAATTAGTGTTTTTAACACAGCCATGGCACTCTAGATTGAAATTTAAAATACAATTTTTTGTAAGTGAAAATGTCAACAGTTGACATATGACATGTCATTCTATTCAGAATATCATTTTCTATCGAATAAAGTAAAAATATACCGAGGGTGCCATTTAAAAATCAAAAGTTGTAGTCATTTCCGGTGAAACAGGAAGTGACCAAAAACAATTGAATACGTCAGTCAATCCTAATTTATGTCATATACATACTAACATAACAAATCTCGCTTTGTTATCTGAAAAAATAAAGAAGTTATAGGGGTGAGCCACTTTTGAGACGCACCCGGTATACCCCTTGAAAGAAATGTAATTTTTTTATTTAATAACTTTTTCCATTTTTCTCACCTGGTACGGTTAGAAGACGTTAATCTAAGAATTCTAAATGCAATTTGACACCCTTTTTTAGGTTATGTTGCCGAAAATGAAAAAATCGGTTTTTATTTTATTTTTTTCTCTTTTTACTTTTTTGACAAACTGTGGATACTAAAAAAATTAACTAATCGATCTGCACTGATCCACGCCCAAAAATCTTTCAAATTGGAATAAGTTAAAAAAAAACTCGATTTAGGCTGGGAAAATTTTTGGAAATTTTCGGAGGTTTTTTTAATGGGGCGATTATAGAGCTCCACTAGCTCTATCCGTGGCCTCACTGGTCGTTTAGCTACTTACTGTTAGCGAGATATTTCCATCGAGTTTTTCGATATTGGCAAAATTTCAACTTTAAATCGTTTTCTACGAGTCCTTATGAAAATCTAAGAAACGTAAAATAGGCCATGGGAGGGCACCCTCAGTCGTCTACCCAACGATGCATAAATGGTTTCTTAGAATTGAAGGGTTTAGTAGATATTCAAAAAAAAAGTTGAAAAAAACAAACTTTCCAAAAAAAATTTCCGGCCAAAATCGAGCTTTTTTCGCTTATTCCGATTTGAAAGATTTTTGTGCGTGGATCGATGCAGATTGATTAGTTAATTTTTTAGTACACAGTTTGTTAAAAAATTTATATACAGGGTAAGAAATAAAATAAAAACGATTTTTTAATTTTCGCTTTTTTTAAATACAACATAACCTAAAAATGGGGTTAAATTGCGTATAGAATTTTTACATTAACGTTTTCTAATCGTACCAGGTGAGAAAAATGGAAAAGTTAATAAATAAAAAATTCGATTTTTTTAAGGGGTAGGTACATCCAGAAAATCGACAATCGAAATTTTTCTAACTAAATATCTCGGAAACGAGCATTTTCGAAACACAGTTTAAATGGGGCGATTATAGAACTCCACAAGCTCTATCCCTAGCGGCTTCACTGATCGTTTAGCTACTTACCGTTTCCCAGAAAAAAACATCTTATTTTTATTTACACCCTTATTTTTTTTCTGCTGATATAATTTAATGCAGCGACCAAACGCAAAAATTTTCCAAGTTACTTCCACGCTTAATTTTAACGTTAACACCTTAAAATTTATTTAGAATAATAAATAAAGGTCCCCTAAAAAACTCATGGGATTTAATATATCGGCCGGACTAAGAATAGGGTCATTTTTAAATAAGTCAATTTTAATGGCCTTTATTGTGATATTTTAATAAGGGTTTAATTCACGAAAGAAGTGAATTTGAAGTGATTGATTGAAGAATTTTCTTGAACCGACTTAAGTCGTTAAAAAATTAGTCGTATTATTAAATTTTTGCTGTGTTTTGACGCTAGTGATTATAGCCGATAAATATTTGAATTTCTTAAATATAAGGTCAATCAAACGAGCAAAATCGGAAATCGGAATAGCCATGCAACTGTTTCAATCATTGTTGCTCGCTGCGTATGTCAAATTATTCACTCTGTACTACCTCTAATAATAATTGTTGATAGCTATCATCACGTAAGTGTGATTAGATTAGATTTAATTTGAGTTTTTCAACTAGGTATAAATAAATTACTTTCATTCCATAACGGCATCGATTACGTAAAGGTATTTTACAACCACTTTCGTTGAAATTTCATTTTACTGTTCGACCTTTCCTTTTCTCCAGCCTTGTTATTGAGAAAGGTTGCAGTAACTACATTATATCGAGAGGAGTAGTAGTCAAAACTATTCCCTTTACTTTATCTTATAATAGAATGAGACTAATCTATACCGGGTTTTTTTCAAAAGTGGCTCACCTCTGTAACTTTTTTATTTTCAGACGAGATTTGGTATGTTAGTTTATGACATAAATCAGGATTGATTGACATTTTCAATTACTTTCAATGTCCGTTTTAAGTGTCCATGTTTCGCATGCGTAGGTCATGACTGGTAGTACATGTTGGTCGAATGTTTCCTTCTTTAGATAGAGTGGCATTCCAGATGTGAATATGATCGAGTTTCTTCCATTAGTATTCCATTCTAACTTAATTCTTCTATTGATTTCTGGTAATAGAGATCTCGTTGTCAATTTGTCACCGTTATTATTCAACTTGTATTCAGAGAACATTTTAAAGAGACTTTATCCGGCAGAGTAGAAGACGTTAAAATTGGATGCGAGATCATAAATAACGTAAGGTGCGCAGACGACGCCGCCATTGTCGCAGGAAGCATGGAAGACTTGCAAATATTGCTAGACAGGGTACATGAAGCTAGTTGCAAATGGCGTATCGATATAAACATCAACTAGACGAAATGGATGTTTTTGTTAAAATAC